CCCCAAAACCCCAAAACCCCAAAACCCCAAAACCCCGCAAGGTGTTATAACATAGAATTAGTCAATTAGAAATAAATTTGATTTCTAGTTAGCAGTTGACAGATGATAGAAATATTTATAATTTAGTACAATTTGATTGATTAAACGCTTAATAAATACTGAAATGGCTTTAAAATTAATGTAAGTAAGAGTTTTATCAAAGAAATGTAGCCATTATCATTACTTATCATTTTAGCCGACAGTTATCTTCATGAAATGTGCTGATTCTTAAGGGTTTTGGTAGTAAGTACCCCTGCAGAGGTGGTAAGAGTAACACCATTATAGCTAGCTTCGCAATTATCATTGGTTCTAAGATGCTCTAATGATCTTTCAAAGTACTTTTTCTTAGGATTAAGAACAGCTTCCTTCTCTTAAGATAATTCTTTGCCTAGGATTGGGTTTCCATTAAGTTGAATTCTCTCTCCTACTTTGCTTCCTTCAGGTGGTCTGATAAGCTCAATCACACTTTTATCTTCAGTGCTTGAACAGAGCACCATACCATTTGATTAGAAATCAGCTAACTTTCTTGGCTTTAAGTTGGCGAAAACCACTACTAATCCACTGGTCATCTCTTCAATTGGAATCTTGCCTTGTAAGCCCGAACCAATCAATCTTGGCTCACCTTCACCGAGATCAATAGTCTCTTTGTAGAGAGTCTCAGAATTGGGATGAGGCTCGCAAGTCAAGATCTTACCCACACGGAGATCGCACTTTGAATAGACTTCCCAGACTTCTTCAAGTTTTACCTCCTCTTAAGCTGGCTGACCACCTTTCTTTGGCTGAGGCTGCTTTTATTGCTTGGGTTGCTTTTCACCTTATGGCTTAGCTTATTGCTATGGCTTGGCTTATTGTTGAGCAGCAGGCTATTGTTTTACTTCCTCAGTAGTTTCAGCAACATTAACATTGCTATTATTGATAGTTGAGAAGCCGTGTCTTTGATATAAACCTGTGAATGGTGATACTGTGTGAGTTCTTCCTAGATTGGTTTCAAGCTTGAAGATTAACTCGTCAAGCTATTTAGCTGAAGTAGCGAACTTTCTTAAGATATTTTGTGCCATATTATTTATTATTTATGGTTATTATTTCACTCATCTATATACTAAATTCGATAGAGTGGGGTTTTGGGGTTTTGGGGTTTTGGGGTTTTGGGG